ATTGCTGGTGAGTTATTAATGTCCTTGTCACTGCAACTGGCGTGGGATGCTCGGTGCCGGAAATGGTGGAGAGGTATTGCTGTTGGTTTCTTGGATAGCACTGAACAATATTTTTATCATGAGCCTTGTGTGCACTGGAAGCTTATCACTTTCCCGCGTTTCCCCCATCTAACCATGATACTGCACGCACTTGTCATGTCTCCAGCTTTGTGCAAGGTCAGCAGGTTCGCAGTGCCATTGAGATATTTTCTTTTAACGCACGTGTTAGTGCTTCTGTGAACAATATCTTTGAACGAAGCAGCCTGATAGCTGCAGCATGTTACATGGCTGTGCACGCAGATGTGTTCGCAACTTTGCCACTATGTTTTGTGGATTACCAAAACAGGCTGAGCAGGTGATGTCACTTATTGGTTGTATATTTTACGGAAAGTGATTTGTATATGGTATCATATGTTTTTTGTCATTCATAAGTCAAATGCGGAGTTAATACACGAATACATGCTTGACATATCTTTTCATGATGGAATTTATTATGGAAGCAGCAGGGATTGCAGCACAAAAACGTATCACTGCTAATTATGACAGTACGGCACTGCGGTAGTGCCATGATGACACTGTTGACCCGTGGCATTACACAATGCACCGCACTGGTTGACTAGTCTGTGTCAAGCCTATGAGATAACAGCTTATAATTTATGAATGACTGGTGACAACTAATTCAATAACGCCAAAGGACTATCACTAGTGAGAATGTTGTTGCACCACAATGGTTTTATTAGGGTTATCTAGTAATTGCACAAATAACCCTAAGTGAGACAAACATTCTTGGTAGCTCAACCTTAACCATCTTTATTGTAGAAATAATAATGCTTTGGCAATCAACCATGGCAAGGTTACAAATTTATTAATTTTTGCATACAACTGCATTTCCAGTTACAAACGATAAAGACAGTAACTTCTGTGCATCTCACGTTATATCAATGTCAGGACTACAGCACTGCAGGCAAGGATAAATCGACAATACAGTAAAGGCGTCCTCAACAGTCCTTGGAAAGGTTTCGGTAAGAGATTCATGACACTGTATGACAGTCTTCACAGTATATTGTGGTTTGATATTAATAATCTGCCCTAACAGCTGGCGATCGCTACGTTGCGTATGCCAAACAGCCCACCAAAGCTTCTCTTACGACCACTACCAAGACAAAAAATCCAAAAACAAGCCAGTCAATAATCCGCCACACAACGCAGCGCCCGCGACGGGAATGGCTGGCTGGCGTCAGCTTTCCTGCGTTTTGAGGCATTCTTTAGGTCTGGCTGCCAGATGCTGCCAGGCATTGCTGTCGTCACAAAACCACTCCATGACGCCATGAAACAATGACGTAATGGGGCACATTTTTACCAAATTTGAAACGTTGCTACTTGGGACCGTTTTTGAGCCTTGAAAGCTTACCAATAGCTACAAGGAAGCTTGTCCCATATGTGGTACATTCTGCTTAAATGTTTTTCACCCCCTCATTACGCTGCGCCCCCCCCCCCCCGTGCCGGAACGCTGGCTCCGCCCCTGCGCCAGTCACCGGCGGTCCGGTGGCGGCGCCCGTGGCGGAGTCGGCCAGACCGGACCAGAGGAAGGTGCGCTGATCCGGCTGGGCCCAAGCTAACAACGCCGCTAGAGCACGACCCGCAGCTGCTTGGTACGGTGGAATGCCCCAGAAACAAGGCTCTGACAACTGATTATCGTGCCCAGTCCATAATATGTCTGTTGTTCTTTGCGATTATATATCATAGCAGACCGTATCAATGAATACACCCCCTGTCCCGCCGACTGCCGCACGCGAGACTAGCCTGTAAACAAACAACCAGTACGGGCGAATATCGCGCGTGGGCGAACCGCCGGCGTGACGTCAGAGCCGCGAGCCGGGAGCGTCGCGGTGGTGCCCTCGCGAGGACTGGTTCTGTCTGACCTTTAGGTTGCCTGGTGGTTGGCAGATAGGGCACACCTTGAGGAAATGGGACATAACGCCCGAACCCATGCTCTCTGTGTCGATGATGGCCACAAGACGCGCCATAAAAAAGATGCGACCGAGATCTGCCTTTAGTTTTACGGTGGGATTGAGTCAAGGTGCGTTAGAATCACGGATTTCATAATTATCCGGACTATCGTCCTCGTACGCCGTGTTTGTATATGCTCAACGTTTCGGCCAGTTATTCTCCGGCCGTCGTCAGGTGTCATTGAGATTTGAGAATGGCGTCCATCTGTCAGCAATATATGCGCCACAACCCGAATTCTCTCCTTATAATTACAGGGATTACAGCGCAGGATTTCTGACCGCGAGCCCTGCGCTCATCAGAGATGGCCTCAAAAACCTCTACTGACTAAAATCGTCCTGTGGGAACGAGCAACATTCCGGGCAGGGAAACACATTTTTTAAGGTCCAGCCCTTTGCCTACAAGCACAAGCGCCAAAGGCGGTTTTGAGGAGAAGGCAGATTAAACATTGTTTAACCTAGTTTAAGTAAAAATAAATAACTATCTCCTTTAATCCCTTCTTTTTCAAAGCCATCGTTTTCGCTCAAGCGGGAGGGTTGTGCCGTTTACGATTTTGATTAATACAATTAGCCGAGTCAGGGTTTCGTCGTCGAATTAGGCTTCAACACTGGAATTTTTATGTTACAACAGAAATTCGCGTTGATACATGCACGTAGCCTAAATATCAATGCATCCATCTCTCCTTCTTCTGGTTACTCTACGAGGAAGAAGGCTAATAGTACTGCCTTATCTATACGCATAATGTTCCCAGCAAGTGCGTTCAACAATTACAACAATACAATGCAACAATATAATACAATATAATACAATAGCAATACAATACGACAATTATGGGCGCAAAACGACCACAGCAGTCGGCGCTCTCTAAGACTCCAATCAATAACAGCAGTTAACAACTTACGGAATATAATTAGTAAGAATTTCAGCTACTTAACCATCAGGGCCGCTATAATGCACTGCAAGAGATGCAACTACCAGAGTTGCAACAGCTTTCTCGTAAAAAACCTTGCATTTTCCAATGCCGGGGGCGAATAGAAGATCCAGAAGGAATAGCATGCAAAATATAACAATAGCTTTAAAAAATTCAAACACGCTCTGCATAATCTGCATACATTGTGTTCATGTCATTGTTGGTCCAACTTGCAATCTTATTAAGTGGTGCCCTTGTTGATATCGAAACAAGATGTGATTAGAACCCAGGGCTGCTTAACATATATCATGGATGGGATATAGGCCAGAAATCAGATACAGGCACAACTGGAGTGGTGTCGCTAGTATGGCTCAGTCTGCTGATAACCGGTCCTTTATCCAATATTTACAAGCATACATAGCTTCTGAGCAATAGTAAAACAATGGTAAGCTCATTTCCATTGCAATACGTCGTAATTCATTCCACGCTGATCATCAGTTGTTTTCAAAGTGGTTATCAGAAAAAAACGCCAATTGATCAAGTTGATCTAGCAGGGTCTGTTTTTTTTTCTCCTTTTTGTGCTCAGTTTGGTGCCACCCAATTGCTATAACCTAAGTCAAAACAAGATCAACAAAATGAGGGATGGAATAGATTAGTTCAAGTTGGGTCAGATATTTTACGTGCTATGCCACAAGTTTTCTGGTGTTGTGGCCGAGATGCTGTCACGGAAGCTTGCGGTCACCCTCGTTTATGGCTGCCTAGGCATTACTAGGGCTGGAAAGGACTTGACGTCATGACGTCAGTGATAATCCATGACGCTAGCGACCGAGAAGAGAGAATTTGCTGGCAGGCGTAACGTGAGGCAAAGAAACAATAATTTCAGTGAATCTGGGGTAATTGTGGTGAGGCAGTTATTTCTTACATCTGGAAACATTCCACTAGTCAGTCTTAGAGGAGACCCTATGTTGCAGGTGCCACAGGTGGGTGTTTGCACCAGATATTCAAGAATACATGCATGCAGAAAAATGAAATGGTCAGCATCATATAACTACATTCATGATGTTCAAACCCCCGTTAGGAAAGCCAATGTTTGTAAGATCTCATTGTGACAGAGTTGCATCAACCAGGTGCAATTCGGAAAGTATTCAAAAACAGTTAATAAGTATTGCTCCTATTCATTTGTTTCATATTTAAGAAACACGTAACAAGAGATGTAAATTTAAATTGAGCATCAAGGGATGTAATTTTGCATTGTTTAATCACCTCAGTCCTCCCAACTATGAGACAGAAAAGTGGGATTAAGTTTAGCCTTTTCCCTGCTCAGCCCCTCAACCTATTTTTGAAATATTTTGTCATCGAACAACACCTTGCTGGACCTTGCAGCTCAAGGTTGACAGGGGTCTCAGATAAAATTCGGGTCCTTGCTGCTTACATTGGCACCACTCCAGACTATCATTTTTTTGCTGGCTCTCAGCTTAATACTGAGCTTTATCTTGGTCTTTGCTGGACAACTACATGTTTCAGTGTTTATCTTGGTTCTTGTTGGATCTCATATCATAGTATTGAGTTGGATCTTGGTTCTGGCTGAACACCCACACACCCACACACCCACACCCATACCCACACCCACACCCACACCCACACGAGATATAAACAACCGCGAATCATGGTCACCGACTTCTTCGCCTTGTAGTAGTTTGCGTCACCCACCATAGGTGCCTGTCGCCGCCCCTGATAAGCACGTGCCGGACTTCCTTGAGTAAGACCAATGAACTAGACTTCATCCAGCAAGTGTCTGGCTAATCAAGAGTTTAGTCACGACGTCGGTAAGATTCCTGACGCTACGGGCGTTGGCTGTTCCATAGGACGCGATGTCGCTTGAAACAATGGCAGCGGTAGGTAAGTGTTAGATGCAGCCAATCGTCGACGCCTTACTTATCTTAAAAAGCACAAATTAGAACCGAAAATACTTGCTAATATCGTCGCATAACACAAATTCTCCGATGTTGCTGAAAACTTTGTAAACTGACACATTGAGACTCACCAATCTTGTGCCAATTTCAGTACGAGGTAAGTGTGGCTGCGAAGATTCGTCATGGCAATGACCGTGTGTGAAATACGTCCAAACAGGGCAAGAGGATGTGCCCAACATCGCAACCGCTCACTGTCGGGAAACCATGCTGAGTTTGATTAAAGGCGCTTCTTACTACAAGGGCTGCGAAATATCAGACACTCTTTCGACTCTGACACAGCTCTGCAGATTTTGCTTATCATTAGTAACTTCTTGGACCTGGTTACACCTCAAGGTTGTGTGTTTGAAAATCTGAGCTGGACCAAAATCTTAGTTCAGGAACAGCTAACGCATCTGATGTTTCTGATGTTTTGAAGTTGTCACGCGGTACTTGTTGGTGAAAACGGCATGAGGGTCTGACCGATGTGGGTCTGGCCGGTCTGACACATGAGATCAAAATGATGACGGGGTTGAATACGGGGTTACATATGATTTCTACATGTTTTAATTTCATCAAACATAGCTAACCAATCATCGTCCTTTTATAATATCTCGACTTGCCACATATTTGATGGTTGATACAAAGACTCGCAAAATGAGCCAACAACTGTCATTCGAAGCAGCGTCTAGGACGTTTCGAAAATTACGGGATTATGATATGGCCAGAGCAACAGAACACCGGGTACTCTAAAGTTTTGACTAGTAGGTATCGACACATACTATAAGTATATCAGAATCGGGATTAATACCAGGTTTAGTATGTTGTACCAAAAGATGCTGTGCTGCGCTTGTGGCATCTTTTGGTTGTTTGTGGCGATTAAGTGTAATCACGTTTTTCAGCCGTGAACGCTTGAAGTGCGGTGGGGTACTGCAGATGGGGTTTGGGGGGTGATCAGATTGAGGGTCAAATAAGTTCAGATGCCTCTAGGTTTAATCTGATGTGTGTTGTTCTTTTCCAATCGCATTGTTTCTCTTTTACTATCCTGGCCCATTTCAAACATTCTACATCAAAACTAATCATGTCATGATCCAGTTACTGCACAGTGGGTCAGCTATGAACAATGTGACATAGGCTACCGGCTGTGGAGTGCTGCCTGCGAAGTGACTGGTCAAAGTGTTCTCAGGTGTATTTATGTTGAACCTGAGGATCTTGTCAGTTTTAAATATATGAATACCGGGGTTGTCGGATTGGCATTTGAATACAGAGCATGTGCAATGATACATTCATCCACAGGGGTGGGCAAATAACATGAAAACCCATAACATCGGCCAACCAGCAATTATTGCAATTCAGCACAGCTGTGTGACTGTATTAGATGCACTTATTAAGAAATCAATGTCACTTGAAGATGATGGAAATGTTTGGTATGATGCAATGTTCTGCACACACCTATTATAACATTAAACAAAGCCTGTGGTATTTAGAGGTCATCTGATATAAAAAATTAGATGGTTTTTCTGCATAACTCAGTGTATGTGAAGTTGTAAGGTTATGTTTTTCCAGAGTAGAAGAATCAGCACGTGTTAATGAAAGTGGACTGTGCTGAGGACGGTCCCACCTCACCTCCACCTAATGTGTACTTCTCGTTGGGCCCTGACACTTCATTTTGACAAAATGCTATTTTCATCTTGCAGTTTTGTCTTTCGTGCGATAGCCCAGCCGATGTCATTAAATAATGCCCAAAGTGGGTGATTGTGGTACAACAGTCACCTTTACCATAGTATTTTTCACCTTTACCATACCACCTTTACCAGTCACCCTTACCATAGTCTCTCTTACCATAGCCTTTTTGTAATAT